CGTAATCTAGCTCTCTGTGCTGTGCATTTTACGGAAGACAGCTTCCAGAATCTCCACGAATTCAATGCCGGATTAAACAAGAAACTGTTACTAAAACATGAAGCAGTTCCAGCTTTAAAACAAGAGGCAGCAGTTGTTGGGCCACAACCTGTAAGTAGGCTAAGACTTCATCATTTTAAATGAATTTTAGGGCTGGGGTAAATGATTATTAACTAAACGATTAGTTGGGCGATTATTTTATCGATTAGTCGACTAATCTAATGACTAATTGGACAACTAATATAAAGAATATTTTTTTCTGCTGCTCAATTAATAAAAAAACAATATCTCAAATAAATACTGGCATACTGAATCAAGATACTATAAGCTGGCTAACGTTAGTCTAATGTTATGTATTTGAACACCATCATTATAACTCTACAACCGCCAAAACCGTGTTATTAAAATATTTTTTACAAACATTTTTTATCATAGAGAATGTTTAAATATTAATATCTGAGGAGGGAAACGGAGGCGGAGTTAGTGGTGCGATCGGAGGCTTCTACTACTGGAGATGAATCGGTCGAGGTTTGTGCACCTACTGATCAGAGCGCGTGCTGACACGGAGTAAAGCCTTGTTTATACTCGACACGTCCGCACGAGCGCGAATGTGCGCACGGCAAAAATGACGCGTTGGGTGCGCAAGACCAGGAAGACTGTGGCTGGCTGTGTATACGCCTTTTTTTGTAACAGCGCGCCCGGCGCCGCGTCCGGGTACGACTTCAAGCCGAATCTGCCCGAGCTTGTACGTCTCACCACACCGGCACCCAGTTTGCGCGTCTAAATTGCAATTTTCTTTTCTTAAGGGTTTGTTTACTGTGTGTGATTCATTAATGGATAGCACATTCACTTCTAGTTGTCTTCGTCCTCTATTCTGCAATGTTTCGGTCTCCCACGTGTGTGTGGCAAGCTGTACCGCCGGGAACATGCAAAAAATAAATAAATAAAGAAGCGTTGACGCAAAAATATGACGTCGACGCAATTTTGACGTCGAATCATTGACGTCATCGACGCGGCGCTACAGCACTAATGTATTTGCATGTATAATTCCAGACGTAGCCTTGTGTTTTATTTTTTTCAAAAGCCAGCGCTGGCATCTTAGCCACTATAGGCTACTAGTTATGCTATTTTGTGTCTACGACAAACGCGTACAAACATTATGGACCTGAATTTTGTATAAGTAGTACTAATGTTGTACATTTATTTTTCATGTATATCATGTTTTATGATGTTATTTTCGATTTGATCAAGAATGTAAACTTGCCAACGCTGTTTGTTTAACATTAGTAGCCAGTCAGTTGCTGTTGTTGCCAGTCAGATGCTATTGTGTAAAACACACGTGTATAAAGTTAAAAAATGTAGCAAATTATCATGCAGAAACGTTTAGTAAGAGCCGTGCGTGGTGAGGTTCTGTTTGACTCTCTTCTGCCTCAAACTGATAAACTGCAGTTCGACACATATTTACATCTGGACCGATGCTCATGACATGCATGTTTCGCCCGTAAAGGTAATGGGCGTTAACCACGGACAACGTGAGCGACAGTTTAGCCAATTACAACAAACTGTTGGTTTGACAGTTTAGCGAAACCAACCAATCTGAACCCACTGCCTGTTTCTGAGGGAGTGGTTTCATAGAATCAAACCTCTCGTTCGAGGACAGCGCGGCTGACAATAAAGGTGAAGTTTATGAAAATTCAGACTTTTAAAAAAAGAAAAAACACAAATACATGTTATATTGCACCCCATAAACACAATCATGCAAAGAAAAAAAGCAGTCAACCCGCCTTTAATTTAAACAATGTATTAATTTAAAGGAGTAGTTCACTTTAAAAAAAATTATCTAGCGTGTTAGCGCCTCCTCTGTCCCCTGAACGAGCAGTTGACTTCCTGAGTCACTCCCTCAGAAACGCGTAGTGGGCTCGGATTGGTTAGTTTGGCCCGGTGTGTTGTGATTGGCTAAACTGTCGCTCACGTTGTCCGGAAGGTTAACGCCCATTACCTTTACGGGCGCAACGGGCACGTCATGAGCTCCGGTCCAGATGTATATGTGTCGAACTGCAGTATCAGTTTGAGGTAGAATCAGACCGAGAAAGCGGCGATGAAGAGAGTCAAACAGAACCTCACCAAACACGGCTCTTACTAAACGTTTCTGAATGATAATTTGCTACATTTTTTAACTTTATGCACGTTTGTTTTACACAATAGCATCTGACTGGCAACAATAGCAACTGACTGGCTACTAATGTTAAACACAAACAGCGTTGGCATTAGTTTACGTTCTTGATCAAATCGAAAATAACGTCATAAAGCATATATACATGAAAAATACGTTTAAAACATTAGTACTTATACAAAATTCAGGTCCATAATGTTTGTACGCGTTTGTCGTAGACACAATAGCGTTACTAGTAGCCTATAGTGGCTATAAAGCCAGCGCTGGCATTTGAAAAAAATAAAACACAAGGCTACGTCTGGAATTATACATGAAAATATATTTAAAATGATTAAGTCTTAGCCTGCTTACAGATTGTGGCCCAACAACTGCTGCCTCTGGTTTTAAAGCTGGAACTGCTTCATATTTTAGTAACAGTTTATTTTTAAATCCGGTGTTGAACTCATGGAGATTCTGGAAGCTGTCTTCCGTAAAATGCGCAGCACAGAGAGCTAGATGACGATCGTGATTTTCAGGAACATAATCAAACATAAATTGTATCCATTGTTGACGAAGTATAGCCTCTGTGGGAAGTTGGAAGACCTGACAGCTGGATGAACAACTCACTCGAGCTGGAGCTGGAGCTGAAAATGCGCATGTCCTTTTTTGCATATTCCGGAGGGAGGGTTGATGCAAATGTGTGGGTTAGTGACGTACCATAACCCAGCTGTAGTCCCAATCCAGTCGTTTTTGTCGGCAATTATACTTCCTGATTTTTAAAAGACGATATCTCTGCTTACATTGAACTTTCAGCGCTGCAACTTTGCAGATACTGTTCATGCACCAACAGCAACATTACACACTATTTAACATGAAAAAAGTGAAATCGCAGTCAACCCCCCCTTTAATAGCCTACATTATTAGCCAACTGTGTGATTTGATGTAGGCCTACATTTTTGAAATACATCACTTAGTCACCTCTGATAACAGATCAATCAGACATGCATTTTCTGTAAATCTGTTTTAAAACACTTGTGAAAAGTGCTATTTGCTACAAATAAATGTTCATTTAATTAAATTTACTGAAAATAATATTCATTTATAGTCAACAACAAGAAATTTAAATGTCACTTGACAATGTGCAGTGGAGAGGTAATTTTCCAGTTCAATTTCCTGCGTCATTGAAACAATGGATGATAATTGACAACAAAGCACTACACAAAACCAGAACCAAAGGCGCATTAATTATAGCTTTCAAGTTGTATTTAGCCTGTTGATACAATCATCAAAAACTATCATAGTAGCCTAGGTTAAATCATGAAGCCCAGGCGTCTCCAGCCCTAGTTAAGTAAGTTTATAGCGCTTTTAACGATATAGACTGTTTCAGCAGTTTTACAGTGATAACAGGAAACGAAATCTTAAATTAAATACTAAACTTGGTAGGCTGAATTGTATTTTAGGATTAAACAAACTCACAGTTGTCGAGTCTCACTGACCGGAGTTCAGCCGCTCCCTCATTACAGCCATAAAAGACGAATCTTCCAGAGGGACAAACCTTTGTTTGAACAATGTACAGCAATGTGTAATACGAGTGTAAATAAAGTATATCTTACACAATTTTTAGATTATTTGCATATCGATTAACCCAATATAGCAAACCGACGAGCATGAGAGAGCAGTGTGCGAGACCCCTGTGTTGCTGGGCGGGATTTCTGCTGAACTGGTGGTCAGGGAAAACAACGGTGTTAACTTTCGATTTCATCGGAAACGCTACGTAGACCTATGGGCCATAAACATATACACTATAAACATATAAACAACAGTTTAAAATAATAAACGATAATATAAATATGAACCGAACTGAACATAATAAATGTAAAATAAATAACAATTAAAAAAGCATTGCTTGTCCTTTAGTTCATTTTAGACGTTTTGGTTACACTTTATTTTACAGTGTAATATTAAGCAGGCCTACTATAGGGTTAGGAATATTCTAGTTGCATGTAATATGCATCATTTACTGCCCTTAATTTGTATGCACTTTAACACATACATTTTTTTTATCTTATTTTTTAAGTTTGATCAACTTTTTATCTTTTCTCAAATTAACTAAAATCATTAATATGGGTCAGATAACATCATATTTTGAGTTTCTGTTTATTAAACCAATCTCCTTCATTGTATTAACTCATTAAATATTTTTTTACAGTGTGTTATTACCATAGTAAGTGCATATAATGTAAGAAGGACATTGTAAAACAAAACTTGTTCAGATTTATGGCTTTGATTTTCTAGCACTTTTAGAGTTAAACATGTTTCGTAAAATTTATATTGTGTATAAAATATTGTTCATTAATCATTTTCATAAACTTAAACCTCTGTAACTTGTTTCATGTCAACAATAATCTGCCAAGGGTCTTCTTTAAAATGAGCCCAAACTTAAGTTTGCGCTCCCAAACTTTAAATTCTGAAGACAGTTTTTGACACAGACATGTTTATCCTCTATGGACATCTAAAGTGCATCTAAATAATGGTATTAAGAATTCAACCATAGTTTTGTGTAAACTCGCTGTAACTACCAGTTTAAAAACGTAAGGCTAATCTCTGTGTATTTCAGGATCAATGTTTTGTGCTAATAGTACTATTTTGTTTTACTATTGAACTGCAATGAGGTAATGCAAACTGGTTCTCCACATTTGCATTATACACAGAGTGAAAACAAAACATGTCATTTACACTAAAGGTCAGATATCTGAGTGGTGATGGCTGGAGTGAATAATATAGTTCCCGAGGATTGTACAAACTCACGTGGCTTTGCACAATAGCAGCTTTTATTAACACTACATGTGAAAAGGCATTGCATTTGAATCATTTCCCCTTTAAAATGTGCCATTTAAAAATATATACTGAACATTAAAAAAACATGTAACGTTATAAAAGCTCCATCTGCAATATTTCAGTTCAGCATTTCATGTCACCATGCCGTATATATGCACTGCACATCTGCAGGAGAGACGCCTTCATAGCACTGGGACACTAAATAAAGTCTTTCCTGGCATTTCCTAACAGAAAGCCCACAGTTTTTTAAATCAGGAGTCCACTAAAACCAAGAAAAATAGTTCAATTATTCTCCATTATTTAAGAAAATCACCTGAACGCTAAAAAAAAAAATGCATCCGCACTATCCAGAATCCAAGGGAATGAATTCATAGTTCAACATGTTTTGTTAAAAATGGCCAACATATTAAAGTGGATGACTGAAGTTATGAGCAGGATAACAATAACTAAGATTGTCATGAAAATACATCCAGAACTTTTGAAAGCGTAATACCTGTAATGTCATACAGTTGGTTTTATGTTCGAGACATTGAAGGAACAGCTCACCCAAAAATCAAACTTATAGTTTCAGACCAGTGGGATCATACAATAGTAGCGAACTGTATTTAAAGTTTCCTGAAGCCAAACGATAGCAGTGAATAATGGCTTCAATCTGGAAGCGATCTTCAGAACACACAACTTCTATGATTATGTTTGGTCATTTTGGGGCTGTATGGAAACTAGAATTATTCCTTTAACATCTCTCAGCAGCAAAAGCATAAAGCAGAAATCACACACGTTAGACTCTCTTCAGAACCAAGACACCGTGTCGTTTAAAAAAAAAGGCACAATCAATGGCCACTTCAACCGATTATCAATGATCCAAATATGTACAAAAATATATATTCAATAACACGTTCTCTCTCAACATTGCACAGTAGAATTTCTTGCGTTCACTTCAAGTGTTCCACAACAACACAATCGCTCCACAGAAGGAAGGAAGGAATGACTACAGGGTTTTTCCTCCTCCAGCGATGATCTCGAACACATGTAAGGCACTGAAAGATGCGATGGCGTCCTCTGCGAGACACAGCCCAGACACTGCAGGCCCAGACCGCGCGCGCACACACACACACTCATCCCAGGAACATCTGTGAACCGGTCATGTGACTCTACAGATCTACAGCCTCCTGTGGGTCTGTCTGTATGAGCATCACTGTGCTGAGCTCAGGCTGAGTGGGCGGAGTCTCTGTTGGCAGAGTCTGTGTGGGAGGGGTTAAATTTAACCTCTCTGTGGGAGGAGTCTCTGTTGGAAGAGTCTGTGTGGGAGGGGTTAGAGTGGGAGGAGACTCTGTTGGCTGGGTCTGAGTGGGCAGGGTTTTTGTGGGAGGAGTCAGTGTGGGCAGGGTCTCTGTGGGAGGAGTCTCTGTGGGCAGGGTCTGAGTGTGAGGAGTCTCTGTTGGTAGGGTCGTTGTGGGCGGGGTCTCTGTGGGCAGAGTCTGAGTGGGCAGGGTCTGAGCAAGTTCTGAAGAGTGATAGTAAGGCAGGAACAGTCGCTCCGCTGCACAGGAACGCATGGCCAGATGTGTGTGTAGCAGAAGAAGAGGGAATCTGGAGGTGAAGTAGGAGACAAACTCATCTGGAATGGATCCCAGCGTTTCCTGGACTTCCTTGGGTAACTCTCGGTAATGGTGTTTCTAGAGGAGACAGAGATTAAAGAATTCAGATGACGCAAATGTTTTTTTTTTTTTTTTTTTTTGTATCATGGATGTAAATTGTAAGTTTAGTTGTGTATTCAAATCAATTAATTATTTAGTAATTATGGTAACACTTTACAATAACGTTCATTAGTTAACATGTATTAAAGGGATGACTTCACCTCTAGAAAGATGAATGTGTATTTAAAATGGGTCATTTATGTAGAAGAAATGTGAAATTATTTGGAGCTTTCTAGACTGAGAAAAGCTAGAAAATGTATTTTTGGCTTATGTGGATATAAGACAACAACTCCCAGAATGCACTTGATTCGCTGCCCTAGGAGGATTCGCTGCCCTAGTGAGTCTCCGTGATGAGTCTGCCCGAAAATGTGTTTCGAGATTGCCCAAAATATCCAGGATTCGCCTTTTACGTTCTACAGCCGCCATTCATTATGTTTACTGTGGCGAGCGGGACGAGTGAGGGCAGCGGGAGAACTGCAGAAAGCAAAAGCTGAATCCTGGACATCGACGACCGTACATGTCCGGGAAAAAGAGGATACGACTCAGCTTTCTCCACAGAACAAGAGCCTGCTAGCTTAGCTTCAAGAAAAAGATGTCTGACACTATGTGTTCATTTAGTGAGTGAGATCCACCCCCTATGGGCGGGTTGAGAACATGCGGGACAGACCCTACTACTGACTGTAGTCTTTAGCCTCTGGACAAAACACCCTCAGATGACGCAAAATGACTATTTTTGCCAGACAAAAAATACATAAATCTCTCGTCTCAGGGGGTGGAAAGCACGGTAATTCGAAAATACTACAGGTTTTCTACTAATACAAAGCTTAATGCTACATCCTGAACTATCCCTTTAATAAACATGACCTAACAATAAGCAATTCATTTATTACTGAATTTATTCATCTTTGTTAATGTTACATAAGTCTAGCTGTTCATTCATGTTAGTTTACAGTGCATTAACTAATACAACCTTTGATTTTAATAATGAATTAGTAAATGTTGAAGCTTAACTAAGATTAATAAATGCAGTAGAAGTATTGTTCATTCTTAGTTTATGTTAACTAATGAACCTTACTGTGAAGTGTTGCAGTAATTAATGTAACTGATGGCTTATTAGCAGCTATTTGACAAAAATAAGCTTAAAAATGAAAAAAGAAAAGTTCAAACATGTAAAATATGTGATAACCAATAAAACAATTAGATAAAATATATTTAGTTAGTTGTTGAAACTCAACTAGTACAAAAATGATAATAATCCTTTCACGCCGCTGTACAGTGTGTTGCTGTAAACATCTCGGTGAACTCACGTACCTTATTCCTCATGGCACGTAACAGATCTCGGACCGATCCGCCTTTGTACGAGCGAAATCTGCGCAGATCTGTGAAAAGAACACTATAGTTTAATGGTTTGCAGAGCAAAATGTTCAAATTTAAGATTCAAACAAGAATTAAAACTAGACGATCATGGCCGAAGTGCATTTGGTCAAACTCTTAGAAAGGAATAGTGAATCCAGTAATCCAGATGCATTAGTGCTCACCGGTCTGTAGAGGAACTGTGATATGATCCCTCCAATCAGCTTTGACCACGACCCGCCCTCCTCTCTCCAGCTGCCTCACGATTGGTCCATCTAACGGCTCCTTCTCGATCCTATCGCTCACATCCTGCGAAACAACACAACATATGCCATTTACCGCCTGCAGCTGAAAACTATATAGATTATAAAAAAAGAAATTCTATTCATCAGCAAATAAAAGTTAATCAATTATTTTCACAGCTAGGTGGCGCCAGCGGGCGGTACTCTCCGGTTTAGAGGGACTACTCGGCACTCGTTAAGAGTTGATCAAAGCGTTTTGATGCTTTAACCTGTTAACTGTCACCCCCCCTTTTTTGAATAGACATGAAAATGCACATTTCGAACTTAAATGGTTGTAATTCAAGAATGCTTTGGAATATAGACATATGATTGGTCTTGTTTTAAAGAAGACATTTGGCAGATTTTTGTAGAAGTGAAATAAATTAAGAAAGTGAAACAGAAAAAAAGTTATAGAAGTTTGAGTTTATGGAAATGTACAATGTAAAAATATTAATTATTCATATTTTACATAAAATATATATTTTCAAAACCTGGGCTACTCTAAAATGGCAGAAAGATCAAAGCCAAAAATCTGAACAAGTTGTGTTTCAAATTTTAGGTTGATATCTCAAAAAATGAGCTTTCAGTAAGATTTAGTTTGAGCGCAGTACCAAACTTTTTCACTAGGGCACAATCAGACTCCATTACTGCCCATATAAGGGCGCCTGCATTTCCATTCCTGTTTTGAGTGATATGAACCATCATTTTCACAATTTTCATACAATTCCTGAAGTAGAGATCCTATTCAGAAGTAGCATGGGAAGTTTGGCAGATTTTGATATAAATTGAACCTCTAAGAAACACATACAACGAACACGCATGTAAGTCATAGCTAGCTGCCACGTCACAAATGGTGAGTTTATTATTTTTTTCTTGATATTTCAAACTTTTCAGACCTTTTTTTTTCCAAAATAATTGAATGGATTCTATCTTTTGAACTTTTGGCATGAAAACAAACTGAGGTATCTACCATTTTTTCATGATTTTTCATGTTTACTGCTATTTTAAAATAAAGGTCTGAACATGCCTTATGAGTATGAAAATATTCTTGTTTTATATTGATAAATTATGGCTCCTCTGTAATATATTTTGAAAATCAGTCACCAAATATGGAAACTAGAGATTGTAAGCTTTCAAATGATATATAGTTTGTCAATATTATTTAAGGTATTTACTAAGATATTATTGTTTTAAAAATATAGTGGCAAACGTCCCACCTGTGGGACGGTGACAAGCTGAGATGCTAAGCTTTAAGATGATGCATAGTGTGTTCCACGTTTGAAAACACAAACAGACGTTCCGGGAACTTTGGAAAACACATTGCATCCCGGAAAGATGAGAGACATGTTTTTTAGCCAAGTGTGCATCCCTTCGTGAGGAATATCTCATGATCTACCAATGGATGATGTTGTGTTTGGGCTCTTTCCACAATTCATGCATGTTTCATGGAGTTATGAGCAAAAACGTAAGATCAACGCATCAATACACTTCATTGGATATGCGCCTGTGCGGCTTCATGTGTTAGGAGTCCATGAGGAATATCTTCAGATCTGAGTGATGGATTATGCTGAGTTTGGGCTCTTTTTAATTGTATCAATCTGTAAATAATGAGGTGCCATTTTCCACATTTTTTTCACAAAGTTTTCATTGAACAGGGCTCCATCTTGAGGGGCTTCTTGTACAAAAACTCGCTCAAGTTTAGTAGAAAGCCTGAAAAAACTATGCTTGTTGTATTCTACTCATTGAGACCTTTCAAACGACATGTCACATGACTATCCGAGCTGTATGATGTATTTGACATATTGCAAGTTTTTCATAAATTATGAAAAAAAAACTTTTTTTCTATTTATCAGCAAATAACTCAGCACTATTTAGGCTTCGTTCATTGTTAAAGTCCAGACTCTAAGCATCTATACAAATGACACCTATTTTGAGTTGATTATGGTAGTAGTTAAGAAAAATATGATTATATTTTAACAATCAAAATAAAATCTAATCTTTTTATATTTTATGGGGGGTGTACAGTTTAAGGAAACCCTTATGCCCTCCGGCTGCACATTCGGACAGCAGTGCCTGGTGGGTTGGAGAGTTTGTTTCGCAAAAGATGCGTTTTCCCTGATAAATATAAGTTTGTGTGACTCTCAAACCTGGAAGAAGTGCAGCTGTTTCTCCAGACTCCAGAAGAAGGGGTGTTTCAGCACTCGCTCGGACGAGGGCCTCTTCTCCGGATCGTTGCTCAACATCTGCTCGATCAGGTTCCGGCACACAATACCCTCTGCGTCAAACAGCAGGAACAGTCACATGATCAGAAACCTTCTGTGACGGACATTCTGCCCCAAAATGAGCTGGTGTTTGTGGTCAGGGTGTGCTTTGAGTGTGTGTTTGTTGGTCAGGGTGTGCTTTTTTGTTTTAACAACTTTTTTGTTTATTGAGTTTTCTTTTCTTTTTTTTTAAGGTCAAGAAATGAAGGGTTCAGATGCAAAAACCTCTAAGTGCCATTTGAAATTTTCTTCTAAAATGATCATTTTTATCAAGCTTGTATATTTAAATTCAGTAATTTCACTTAAATGGCAATGAAGATTACCTATTAATTGTCATTTAAGTGAAATTACTGAACTTAAATATACAAGCTTGATAAAAATTGTCATTTTAGAAGAAAATTTCAATTGGCATTTAGAGGCTTTTGCATCTGAACTCTTCAAATACAAAAATACAAGGCAAAAAGCAACTATACAATTCTGGAACCCACCCAACACCATGAGTGTGTGTGTGTGTGTGTGTGTGAGGTGGTGGCAACCTGTGTGTTGATCAGAAACCTGCCTGTGATGTACAGTCAAACCAACATATATTCAGACATTTCTCACATTATCACAGATTATTCGCTATAGTTTAGAAAATGGTAGTAAATATGAGCAGAACTCAGAGTTATCAGTGGATATTTGTCTTGTTTTGTCCGTCCTTCTGTTAGACTCTCACAGATGAATTATGATGAATATCTGTCAGCTGTTAAATTTAACTACACAATTAGATATTACCAGTTTAGATCAACCGATTACCAAGTAATGCTTAATGTTGTTCAGTCTGTGTGTAAAAAGAGCATTAGCAATTCCAGAAAACACACTTCAGCAAAACATGGTCAGCTCAAAGTGGAGGAATTGGTTTGACTGTACATTTTGCCTCAAAATGAGCTGGTGTGTGTTGAGCTGGTGTGTTTGGTCAGGTTGTCATATGAGTGTGTGTGGTAACACTTTACAATAAGGTTCATTAGTTAACTACATTCGTTAACATGTACAATATGTGAACAATACTTCTTCAGCATTTATTAATCTTAGGGTGTATTCACACCAGGAAAGTCCGATAGTTCACTTGCTTTGGTCCGGACCAAATAAATTATTTTTTTTTGGTACGGTTCGCTTTCACACTGCTCTTTTTGCAAGTGAACCAAAATGTGTAAACCAAACCACACGTGTGCTAAGGTCGTCCATTCATTGGACAAGGATTCTCAAGGGAAATCAGGAAGTGCAAAAAAGGCTCAGCATGGAGATATTTCCATATATTTCATACTGCAATATTTGTTCTTTTACTAATTTTGTGTTAATTCTGTACAAACGCAATATGAAGAAACTAATGAGTACCATATGATACAATGCCATCTATACGAAGTTGTAATTCGGATTTTGAGAAGACGACGAGTGTAACGTTTGAGTGGCTCTATAAACGCGGGGAAATACGACAACTCTCGTCTCTCGTGCATCTTTTCATTCGACCACCTTCTGTTTTTTTTTATCTCTGGGCAACATCTCAACTTTGCGTTACAAGTGGCACTGCACAGAAGACGGAGAAGGTATAAAGTTTTCATTCATAGAGAGGGGCTATGTTCACTCATTCAAGTAATGAGATTCTTATTGTGTACTAACAAGTGCTGTCATGTGTAAAAACGCTTGCGATTAAGTTTGTCCAGTTTAACCCCAGACAGCAAACTGACATTGAATCAACGTGGAAACGACGTCTCTCATGACATTGAAACAACGTTGATTTGCTCATCGAATTAACGTTGAACCAACATCAGACGCGGCATTCTTCAAAGCTAAATGAAATCGAAAATTGGTTTGCTTTCATAACGTTGAAACAACGCGTTGATTTCAAGTTGATTTTCCGTTAGTTTTGAAAGAATGACGCGTCTGACGTTGGTTCAACGTTAATTCGATGAGCAAAACAATGTCAGATCAACGTTGTTTCGATGTCATATTTCCACGTTGATTCAATGTCAGTTTGCTATCTGGGACGTAAATTAACGCATCATCATCATTGTATTGTAACTATCCTTACATTAATAATAATAATAATAATTCATTACATTTATATAGAATTTTTCTCGGCACTCGCTTTAAGGGGGAAACTCGTCAACCACCACCAAAAGGTGTTGAACTGCAAATGATATTTTTTTTGCATCTTTGCGCGATTAGACATTCACACACGACGCGCAGAAAGACGTGCAGAAAGACGCGCAATTCTCTTTCGACGCAGTGCTTTCTTGCAATTGGGTCGGTTCATGTTCACACCGTAAACGAACCGTACCAGAGTTCGTTTGGAACCGTACCGAGACCACCTCTTCAGCTGGGTCTCGGTTCGGTTGTTTGGTCCGCACCCGAGTTCGATTGCTGTATTCACACCTGCCCAAAAGGTCCGCACCAAGGGGGCAAACAAACTAGAGTTCGATTCAATCGAACCAAACAAGGCAGGTGTGAATACACCCTTAGTTAATATTAATGCCAACATTTACTAATACGTTATTAAAATCAAAGGTTGTATTAGTTAACATTAGTTAATGGACTGTGAACTAACATGAACGCACAACGAACAGCTGTATTTGTATGAACTAACATTAACAAAGATTAATAAACACTGTAACTAATGCACTGCTCATCGTTAGTTCATGTTAGTTAATGCATTTACTAATGTTAACTAATGAACCTTATTGTAAAGTGTTACCGTGTGTGTGTTGGGCTGGCGTGTGTTGGTCAGGGT